AAAGGCAGATTTGCTTAGTGATGCCATGTATTTGCTGCATGGAGCCAGCCACATGACTAGTTATGTGCCGGTTCCAATCAGTTAACGTAGCCTGCTGTAGACAGGAGTAGGCTGAGTCACTCCGGATGCCAGGACTGTACGAACTGGGGGCTGTGAAACATGCAGAATTTCTCAAAATAAGGTTCCCTTAAAACATGGCTAAACTGGTAGCTTGCTTTCCTAGCCCTGAGTCTCTTTTACATAAGACCTTGGTACATACAAATGTCTGATCCTCTAGATTACAAATGATATTTTCAAGTAAACTTTTTTGTTGTTGTCATGCAGCCTCTTGCTTCCAAAATGCTTTTCAGAATTTCTAAATTTAGGCCATGCTTGCAAAGTTGTGAAATTCCATTCCCAAAATAAGACAGAAAGCTTGATGGAAGCCAAAGAGGAGCAGGTGGTAAGTAGGCTGGAGTATTAAGGACAAATTCACAATGTACTGGATCTTGAAATACAGGAAATTAGATGTGTTCTTATCTTGAAGCCCCCAGGATAGACATGTCTGAAGAAAAGTACTGTCATAGAATCACTGAATCATAGAGTTGGAAGGGGCCATACAGGCCATCTAGTCCATCCCCCGGCTCAATGCAGGATCAGCCTACAGCATCCCTGGCAAGTGTTTGTCCAGCCGCTGCTTAAAGACTGCCAGGGAGGGGGAGCTCACCACCCCCCTAGGTAGCTGGTTCCACTAGCTGATTCCACTGTTGAACAACTCTTACTGTAAAATTATTTTTCCTAATATCCTTCAAGCCTAATATCCTTCAAGCCTTTTTCCTAATAACCTTCAAGCCTTAATTTCAACCCATTATTGTGAGTCCTGTCCTCTGCTGCCAACAGGGACAGCTCCCTGCCCTCCTCTAAGTGACAGCACTTCAGATATTGAAAGAGAGCAATCATGTACCTCCTCGACCTCCTCTTCTCCAGACTAAACATTCCCAAGTCCCTCAGCCTTTCCTCACAGGGCTTGGTCTCCAGGCCCTTATCATCCTCATCACTCTCCTCTGCACATGCTCCATTCTGTCCACATCCTTTTTGAAGTGAGGCCTCCAGAATGGCACACAATACTCCAGGTTGGCCTGACCAATGCAGTGTACAGTGGGACTATGACATCTTGCAATTTGGATGTTATGCCTTTGTTGATAACACCCCAAAATCACATTAGCCTTTTTTGTTGCTGCATCACACTAGCTGCTCATATGTACTTTCTCAAGTAGTGGTCCACTGCGAGGAAATCGATGCAACTCCATATCGTGAGGGGTTGGCATGATGTGGTCCAAGTAGTGGTCACAAAGAGAAACACGGAATGATAACCTGACCAAAAATAGGGTGTTAGGCTTCCTGCTGCAGCTGAACGTTTCTCCTTACGGAGGCCTGCCTTGGTCACACAACTTTCAACTGGATTGCTTTAGCAAGGGGCAGAAATAAGAATTGCATGTTTTAGATGTAACTCCCTGCCTCATCTCTTAATCAGTTGCCATTTTCATGTTCAGCTAAGATTATTCTTCCTTCCATTCTTCTCATTTTAATGTTAATGTACCTGTGCAGTACTTTATACTGTCAAATCACTGACCACCTATTCAGCTCTGCAAGGTTTCAGGCAGGAGTGATTTCAGCCTGCCCCCTATTTCTGTGTGATGGCAGTGGGGGCACTGGGCCCCATTGGAGGGGGTTGGGCTTCCTGCCCTTCTTCCCTCCGAAGACAGACCCCCCCCAATATGTGCAAGCCCCAGACTCTCGGCAGGGATCATTTTAGCCTATGTATACACAGGCACAGCTTAGGTTTAATATCCCTCCCAAGGAGGGGGAGAAAGAGAGAAGAGCTTCACTAATTATTTAGCATTATTGCCCTAATTGAGATAACAAAGTAGAAATGCAGAAAAGCAGGCAATTCTAGATGTGGAGGTGTATTTAGAGCATTTCTAAATGTGGAGGCATTTCCTATGAAGACCGTTTGAGTAAGTTGCTATTGCTGAATTGCTTCAAAGCCGATCTGAAATGCGGCCTCAGTAAATCACTCATGAGCCTCCAGTGTAGAGTATACTAAGAAATGAATATTCCACCCACATCTAGTCCAGGAAAAACCACCCAGGGGAAAGAGAGATGGTGTGTGCGTGTTCCAGATGGGAGTGGAAGATCAGAGGGTAGGTGGGGGCCTGAAGAAAATGGAGGGAGGGACGAGGAGGCCCTGGCAGGGAATGAAGAGGGAGGGGTTCAAGGAAGGGATGCTGGAGGATGAAAGAATCTGCTGACTGGGTGGAGGTGAGGAGAGCTGATGCTAAGAAGCAAGGGATGAAAGACGAGAGGGAAGGTTAAGAGAAGGGAAGTAGAACCAGAGAAGTTAGCTCTTACTCCGTCTTCTCTTTAAGAGGAAGATCTGTCTCTTGCCAGGGGTGAAAGAAGGTCCTGGGGGGGAAACCTACACAAGATGCCAGAGCCAAGTGGTGATCACGACTCCCTGGTTTCATACAAGATGGAGTTTCCTGGCACTTTTGACTGCATAAGACCCCGAATTCTAAGGGAGTTCTAGGGGTTGAGGATGCTGGCGGGGAGGGGGCATCAGGCTGCTTGGAGGAGCTGCTACAACCCAAAGGAGAGGACAGGCAAGCAAGCAATGGCTGTTGTTATTCGCTAGCAGCAGCAGCTGCTTAATTTCCCAGACACCAGGGACCAGAGTGGGTTGATTTAAATCTGAAAAGTGGCTAGTTGAAACCACTGACTTAAATAAAAATGAACAAATTTAGAGTCCAGTGGCACCTTTAAGACCAACAAAGGTTTATTCAAGGTATGAGCTTTTGTGTGCATGCACCAAACTAATAGGTTGCTATAACCATAAAAACATACTGTTTGAATAGATCCTTATGCAACTTTTGGGCACAGTATAAGCCCCCTCCCCTGTATTTAATTTCGTTTTAGAAAATAGTACACATTGGCCCCTGCCACACGGCAGGGAAAACACCCGTCAAAGCGCGGCTAAATAGAGCCGCACCAAAATAGAGACGCGCGGGCGGGATCCCACGGATCCCGTACACCGCGCGCCGTTGCTCCCCGGCACGATCAGATGCCGGGGAGGAAGAGTGGGGGGGGGAGGCTGCCAAACTGCGCATCCACGAGCATGCGCAGTTCGCCCGGGGGCCGGGATGCGCCGGCGCAAGGAAGCGCCGGCAATCTCACGGCCCGGATTGAAGCGCTCTACACCGAAGAACCACCTAGGTAGGTGGTTCTTTTTAGTGTGGGTTTTCGGGCGGGAGGGACGGATCGGGGACGGGCAGGCAACGCTTCCCAGATGTTGCCGTGGGATCGCGTCCGCTTGCTCCGCCCCTGATCTGTGAACAGGACCATTATGTATTTTTAGATAATGTCATTCTTTTGACCTCAGATAAGGTCTCCCATATGACAGCTGTGTCACTGCATGCAAGAACAGCAAGTTTGTGTAAATAGGAGCTATTTGCAATTATCACTTGATGGTGCTGCTTTTTTCCAGGATTCCTTTCTGTTTTAGACTACCTCTTCTCTGCCATATAAGTAAACATTTTATTTGTTTCCTAAAGTTATTTGCACTAATACAACTATCAGTTTAAACAGAAGGGGGGGAAACCTCACTTCAGGGGTTAGGAAACAGCTTAGCTCTGAATGCATGCAGGCTTTTTAAAAGATTAGTGATTCCCCGAATTAGAGGCAATGTAGCTTTCTATTCCTGCACTAAATTATTTAAAGCTATCAAAACTGGGAGAAGTTGTAATTGATGTGTAATTATTAACTCAAGGGTATTGCCTTTTGTCCTTTGAAGTCCCCCATTAAAGCTGTCACTTAACACAGTGCACAAAAGAGTAACAGAAAAGTGCAATGACATAAAAAAATTGCATTTCCTCTTTACTTTAATGCTTCCCAATTTATTTCTCTCTCCTTTATTAAAAAGGTTAACAGTTTAACTAGCAAAAATTAGAACAGGGCACAGGTTTTTAAAAATAAACACCAATGTAAGAAACCTTGGCAGCTCTCCCATTTTTTTAGCCTGAGAAATAATGCAACCATGTTTTTTGGGGGGAAAATGAAGAACAAAAACAAGAGGGAGCATGTCACTGGAATCTCTCAGCCACGACCTAAAATGTGTTCAGCTTCATTTAAATTCCTGTTTTGCGAGGCTTCACGTTTTAACTAAGTGTTCCTGTCACTTACATGAAACAGGTAATTATTACTGTTGGTTTTCCAGTTTTCTGAGGTCACTGTGTACCTTGTGTGTAATGCAAAGGGATACAAGTTCAAGGAACGGGTGGAATAAAACCGTACTATATCTCAAGGTTTTGGAGGCAGCTTATGATTTATTTTTCTGTCAATCAGATTTTTATCCTACCCTTTCTCCAAGGAGCTCAAAGAGTGGTATGTGGTTCGTCCCTCTCCCATTTTATCCTGACAAGCTTAAGAGACTGTATCTGACCCATTGAGCTCTCGTGGATCTTCCTGGCGATAGTCCAACACCCTAACCATCACACTGCACGGATTCTTTCAGTATCATAGCTTTATTTTTGCATTTATATAATAGAAATGTCATATCTGATCATTAATCAATATTGTAGGCAAGTCTGCATGGAAATTTCAACCTTGTTAAAACGTGTTTCATCTATAGTGCCCTTCAAGCCTATCAAAAGCTTTCTCTGTCTATGCTCAGGAATACCAGTCAAACTGAACACCTGGGCCATAGGACTAGGGTCACGTATTTTAGGAAGCAGTATTGTAATACCTGTTGGTTAAGTTGTATATGATAAGCATTCAGCTTCTCATTAGTCGGTGGATTAACACATTTAAATTTCAAATTTACGTGTGAAATGTTGAGAGATGCTTTCCATTTGTTTGCTTGTTTTAAGTTAAACAAATGGTATTTTTTCCATTTATGATTATATATGCTGCAAAAATAAAGAAGGCATATATAACATTTCTTCTACATTTTTATATTTCCACAGTGCGAGAAAAACGCAAGAGTCTCTATATAAACCATGTAAGTAAAAAACAAGCCTTTTCTGAATTAGCATGTGTGAATGTACATTAGAAGTTTATTGGCTAGTAAATTGATAGTGTACAATCAAGGGAAGTCAAAAGTGTACATGTGAATTGATAGTGAGTATCATGAAATATTGTGTAAATGGGTTGTACAAGCCTGAGGACCCTTTGGCTAACTTCAGTTTATGAAATAGGTCCCTATGCTGCATATAATTCAAGGAAGTGAACAGAACTAGTTGCACTTAAGCTGGGAACACACTGCATTTTTCTTTTACTCCTCCCTACTTTTAGAGATACATTGGAGTAGAGGAGAAGGAAGAGACAGCTTGCCCAAAACACTTTATGGATGACTCTGAACCTGGGTGTTGTATGTCTAGCCACAGTCATGCATATTATAACTATTGTTAATTGTTACTTCTTGAATACATACCAATTCATTTTCTGTCAGATGAAGTTTGCAGCACTTGCTCATACAAATATCTAGCAGTCTGTAAAACCCCAAAGAAACTCTTTGGACAAATCTTGTTGCAGATTTGTGATCTTGATGTGGGAAGAATATAAAAGAGAGAGGGGTCTTTATCTTTAAGGTCCATACTGGTTTGTAAAATGGACATTCCTGTTTTGATTTTACCATGCCACCAGTATTATACCACTACATGTCAGCAACTTAAATAAATTTTTGTACCTATGTGCAGATTCCTGAAATACAAAATAACACATGGTTTGGGCCAATTTTTAGTGGCTCTTGTGTTTAAATTTCCATTTTTCTCAGCAAAATATATGGAAGTTAGGACCTAGTCGCTTTGTGATCACTGTTTTGTATTTGGTGGTTTAAATATTTGTACACCATTTGTAACTGCGCAAGGATGGACAACTGACACAGGGGTGGGTAGCAGTGTTCCCTCTAAGCTGAGTTAGTGTGAGCTAGCTCACAGTTTCTTAGCCTCTGGCTCACACATTTTTGTCTTAGCTCAGGCAGGATGGCTCCAGAGCAAACTAATTTATGCAGCAGCCAAATCACTTGCTCACAACTGTAATGCCAGTAGCTCACAAAGTAGAATTTTTGCTCACAAGACTCCACAGCTTAGAGGGATCATTGGTGGATAGGACCATTTACAGAATGGCTACCGTGGCAGCTGTGTCCAGTCTCAATGTTGTGAGGTTCTACAAAATGTTGAGGTGCTTCAACCCAATCCTTCCTATCATGGAGACAGCAGTTTCTCAGTGAGTGCACTCTGCAGCCACAATGGTGATGCTCTCTGGGAATTCCTGAATTCCCTCCTGCTTCAGTGATGCGGAAGAAAGACGGGGTAGGGTCTTTGCTTTGATGATGAGATGCTTTGGAAGTAAATGAAAGCTTTTGGGCATCCTGTTGGGGATCAGTGGTGTGGTGTAGTGTCGTGTAGTGTAGTGTAGTGTAGTGTAGTGTAGTGTAGTGTAGTGTAGTGTAGTGTAGTGTAGTGTAGTGTAGTGTAGTGTAGTAAAAATAATTGATAACGGAACATTACCTTTTGTTGAGCAGTTGTTGCATCTATCTTGTGTTCAGTGGCTGAACACTGGATTCAGGGCTTTTCCTCCTAATGGAATGCCTTTCAGAGTGGCAAATCAAACCCTGTGAACTCAAATGTTCACAGTTTCCCTTGCCATCTCTCTGTCTCAGGCTTGGCTGAATAAATTTTGCTGTCCGAAGTGGTCTCTTTTTCTCCTGCCCCATCAGCTTCAAAAGGCACTCTGCAGATTGCAGGCATGGATCCGGACAGCAGTGGCATGAGTGTGGCTTCCTCCTATGCCAGCTCCAAGTGAGTCTGCTGAGGCATTTTGCAGCCCTATTGAATCTGGTGGCATTAGCACACGTCTGTGGATGTCGACAGTGCATGCCTTTCACCTCTTCCTGAGTGCTGTCCTCCACTGATTTGGCACACTAAGTGGTTATTTTGGTTGTCCGCACTGTAGACATGCCCCTGCTCTCTCTCTCTGTGTGTTTGGTGGTAGTGGTGGGGACCCCAGTCTTGCTGACTGTAGATTAACTTTGCTTTATCTGGCAAAATATGCTTATGTCCAGAAAAGCTTATGCTGCAATAGATTTGTTAGATTGCAGTCCTCAGCACAATTACAAAGAGGTAAGTCCCGTTGAAGTCTTTTGGGTGCTGCAGGAGTGTTCCTTTCATTTTGTTCGTAACTCGTGGCTTTCTTGGGTATTGATAACTTACATGGGTTAGGAATATTATGAAACCTTTTTCAGTCTTCTGCTTTTGGTTTACTTGGATTTTATTTAGGAATACTTGTTTCTCGTGCCTCCATGGCTCCCATTTTGCTGCAATCTACAGTCAGTGGTGCGTTAGGCCAGACTGACGTATGTGACGGTATTGCCACAGGGCCATTGCCAGCACTGTTATGTAACCCCTCTATCTGATCTAACTGTGTGGGCTCAAAATATACACATTGCTAGAGCAGTGTGGCAACTGTGGAGGTATTGCAAAAACCACATCTCTTAAAGAGAGTGCTGTCATGTCATAGCCAACTTATGGTGACCCTGTAGGGTTTCCAAGACAAGAGATGTTCATAGGTGGTTTGCCATTGCTTTCCTCTGCACAGTGACCCTGGAATTCCAGGCTGGTCTATCCTGAGCACAAAGTTGCTTTAAACAGCTTATGCCTTACAAAGTTTTGCTGCCAAAACTAATACAGTGTTGCTATTAACTGCATGGGTATTATTAACCATTTAATTAGCTAACTTAAATTTAAAAGTTCTTGGTATCAGTACCGCTTTATAGAAAACAATGACTTTCATAGTTAGTTTTGGAATTTTTGTAGCTGTAATATATATGTATTATTCTGGCAGTCTATTTGAGGAAGTGTTTAATGTGTGTTGACAATGTGTTGTCCTGATCAGTAAATCCATCCAAACTTGCAAATAGCATACATCATAGGTCAGTCACAACTCTCTCAGCCTAACTCACAGGGCTGTTGTAAAGAAGGAGGAGGGGAGAATATGCAGAATAGCCTAATGACTGTCTATATAGCAACTCTGGCTGCATATAGGTCCATTAGGTCAAACACTTTTCTAACGGTTGATTTTGCTTCAAGGTGTTTTGTTTTGTTTGTTTTTTGGTTGTTGTTTTTTGCTCCACTCACTCCGAAAATGGTTACTTTTTAGCTGAAATATAGGTATCATTTCCGTGAAATGTCATAAATTACCAGCCTTTAGCTTAATCTGACATACTGGAAGAACATCTGTTGACTGACGTAATAGATGTTCTTATGGCACGTCAATCAACTCATTGGACGCTCCCCCCCCCCCAGTCGTATTGTATCCGTGGATCATGCTTTCCTCACATCTACTGAAGTCTTAGTGGTGATCCCCATTTTAGTTTCATACACAGCTGACAGTAGGGCCTTCTGAAATGCTTTATCTTTGTTTTATCTTTCACTGAACACAGTCAAGCTGTGAAAAGATAGATGGTAGCCTTTTGAAAATACAAGCAAGCCCTCTTCACTAGCTTGTTGGCCTTTGAAAGAAAGGTGTTCTTGATTTCATTCCCTTTCCCCCCCTTACTAGACAGGTGAATCCTTTGGTCCAATTAAAATGATGGACATCATGCTGCTGCTTTTATACCTTTTGAACTTTGGCCTAGTCCTCTTCCTGACCACGTGCCCAAATCATCCCTCGGCTGTTCTTTGGGTGTGAGTCTGTGCATGTGTGTTAAATTACTTTGGTTATTCCAATGATAAACAAGTTAAAACCATGTTATGGTATGCATTTCCTGCATCCAAATTCACCTATACCATTTTTAAAAAAACAATACCATTGTATTAACTATAGGATAACTATATATCAATATTCTATGTATAGGATAACTATATTGCAGCTCTGGCGCACAATCATATGTAAGAAAAGTGGTTCATCTCGTTTTAGTCAAGGGTGACTAGAGGAGGATAAAGCTGTGGTGAAGAAGAGATCTGGTCATGCAGATATAGTCGCCTGGGCCCACCTCCATATCTTGCTTCTGTTACAGTGATAGATGCGGGCTCGGAGGTGAGAGGTCTGTGCCTCAAACCAAGCCACCAAGCTGTGGCACTGTCAGGCTCTCTATACATTATGCATTTTACAGCTCACCTGCCATTGAGAGAGGAGGCTCCTCTCTCTCTCTCTTTGATGTGCCCGGGGCTTGTCACCTTAGTGGTGCCAAATGTCCTGGCTTCTCAAATGTCTGTTATCCTGTTTTCCTTGCTATGTAGAGGCTACGTGCCTATGGGGGGGGGGTAGGCAACCATTAATTCTGGTGGGAGGGATGCTCTGGGAAGGGTACGTGCTTAGGGGGTAAAGGTAAAGGTTCCCTTGCTCGAAAGCCAGTCGAGTCCGACTCTAGGGTTGCGGTGCTCATCTCCGTTTCAAAGCCGAAGAGCCAGCGCTGTCCGAAGACGTTTCCGTGGTCATGTGGCTGGCATGACTAAACACCAAGGCACACGGAACGCTGTTACCTTCCCACCGAAGTGGTACCTATTTATCTACTTGCAATTTCTTGCTTTCGAACTGCTAGGTTGGCAGGAGCTGGAACTAGAGGCGGGAGCTCACTCCGTCATGCGGCAACCCGGGTCTCGAACTGCTGAACTACTGACCTTCCACCGCCTGCAGTTCAGCGTCTTAACCACTTGAGCCACCGCAGCTCCTTAGTGGTGCCAAATGTCCTGGCTTCTCAAATGTCTGTTATCCTGTTTTCCTTGCTATGTAGAGGCTACGTGCCTATTTGGGGGGGGGGGGTAGGCAACCATTAATTCTGGTGGCAGGGATGCTCTGGGAAGCGAGTCTCAATAAAGCTAGCTTTCTTTAAAGTGAATGGTGTTGAGAACTGATTTAATCAGGATCCTGACAGTCACACATGAAGCTTCCCTTGTTTTGAGCCTGGTCATTGGTAAATCAGGGTCAGTATTATCTATTGGGGCTGGCAGCAGCTCTCCATGGTCAGTCGGAAGTCTTTCAGAACTCCTGCTACCTGAT